GATGCTCTTGCGCAAAGGCACATGCCAGTGTAGACGCTCTCTTGCGCAAATACTTCAACACAAGCGCGCCAATGTAGACACAGCCTCACTGTGGCGCACCTGGAAGTGGCTGCATCTCACCGTTGGAGCATCTGGGTACGTGGTATTACTCATATATACAGCGGCTGTGTCTCATCCCGGAGGTGGCTGTGTCTTAGCGCTGGGTAAGGGATCCTGGTGCAAACAGCCCCTGCGCCATGCCCCAGAATTTAGGAGCTGCATCTTAGCGCTGCTGGATTAAGGGATTCCACCATGAGATGAGATGTAGCTGATTAAAGCACTTTCTGGTTGGCCAGAGTGAATGGTGCTGCAGCTAGGGATTGAAATAACTGAAGGCTAATTTCACTGGGACCTCCATTCCACATCCAGTTTCCTCTACTACCCTTTGGCCTAGGGCAAGATGCACTAGACTCGAATCCAGGACTTCACGTGCTTCCTCTTCTGCTAACCTGTTACCCATTCCCATAACCTTGAGCAAGTCCCTGCCCCAGGAGGCAGGTCTCAGTTCCTTGTTCTCCAAGCAGGGATTGCACAAGTTTGCACACGTGGCTGTAGCACAATGCACCCATGCGATGGGACAGTGGTAAGGCTGTAGGTATTTGCATGGTAGTAGCATGTAGGAGCCTTAGCTGTGGACTAAGACACCTGCTGTGCTCTGTACTGTACACACACAACACAGATGGTCCCTGCCTCAGAGAGCTGATGGTCACAGGGTACAGTATCGCAGCCAATGGACACAGACAGGCCCTGCCTCAGAGAACTGATGGTCACAGGGTACAGTATCACAGGTAACGGATACAGACAGGCCCTGCCTCAGAGAGCTGATGGTCACAGGGTACAGTATCACAGGTAACAGATACAGACAGGCCCTGCCTCAGAGCTGATGGTCACAGGGTACGGTATCACAGCCAATGGACACAGACAGGCCCTGCATCAGAGAGCTGACCTGTGCCAGACCTAACCTAGCTAGGGCAGGGAAGAAAAACCATGAGGATGTGGCATGGACTAGCTGCACCAGCCCCAGTCTGCCAGGGAGCCTGAGTGTGGGTTGGGGAGAAGAGGGTCCTGGCATGGCTATCCCTGCTCACAAGGCAATTGCACCTTCACTGTGGTGTGTAGATGCACTTGGGGGCTGTGTCTACACTGGACCCCTTTTCCGGAAAAGGGATGCAGATGAGACAAGTCGAAATTGCAAATGAAGCGGGGTATTTAAATATCCCCCGCTTCATTTGTATAAACATGTCTGACGCTTTTTTCCGGCTCGGGGCTTTGCCCGAGAAAAGCACCAGTCTAGACGGGATCTTTCGGAAAATAAAGCCTTTTCCAAAAGATCCC